CATATACGTATGAACATTGACTGTAGAAGGAATTTGTGGAGTTTTCCAGAGAGACTGTGACGCCTGCCTTCCCACAGTGTGGACGCAGCCTTACCATCACCAGGCTGGATGGACTCCCTCCCTTAGGGCTGGTCTGATGCACATGATGTGTCCCTTAGTGTCTTTGTCTTGGGGCAGTTCATGTGTTGCCTTTGAGGGAGTATTTTTAGTGACAAGCGATCTATTTGATTGCTTTCAGCAGCAGAGAGCAGTGTGGGGATGGTTATCGGCTGCCAGCAGAGGTCAGATGAGGACAGGCTTTGAGGGGTGACCGGATAGAAACTGCTCCACACTGGCAAACCTGCCTGTTCCCACAGTTTCCATGCAGCTTCTTTCTTTTCTCCTGGCACCTCCTCAGTCAGTTTACAGAATCTGCTTTAGACACACACACACAGACATACAGAAACTCACACACACAGACACTCACACAGACACACACACACACAGGCACACACAAACAGACACACAGACAGACAGACATACACACACAGACACACACAGACAGACACACACACAGACACACACACAGACACACAGACACATACAGACACACACACAGACACACACACAGACACACAGACACACACAGACACACACACTCACACACACAGACACACACACAGACACACACACAGACACACACACAGACACTCACACACACAGACACAGAGACACACACAGACACACAGGCACACACAGACACTCACACACACTCACACACACACAGACACACACACGAACACTTCTGTTTTGAGCTTCAGGTTCCCAGGTGATTGGTGCAGGCAGTGTTGCTCTCTAACCCTGGAAATGCCAGCCAGGAGGACAGGGCCACTTGATAACACATGGCTGTCATGGCTGAGGGCATAATGTTTAGAGGAAGGGCGTCATTCTAGCTAGAAAAACATTCTGCAAACCTCCCGACACGTTCGTCAGCTACTCTAGAGTCTGGATTGTACAGTCATTTCTTGTTATCTTTGAGACAGGACTCCAACACTCCCCGGGGATCCAAAATCCTCTGGATGCTCTAGTGCCTTAATTAAAATGGCACATGTTTGCATATAACCTAAGTGCCTCCTCCTCTGGGCTTTAACTCACCTCCAGATGGCTTCCGTTTCTCTTCCTGCTACTCCTCCTCTCTTTCCTCCTCCTTCTCATTCTGCTGCTGCAGTATTTGGGGTTGAACTCAGGTACACCTCACAGATGCTAGGCAAGTTTCCTACTGTAGCCCTAGCCGCTCCTCTTAAAATTATTATTTTGAGGCAGACCCTCACTAAGTTACTCGGGTTGGCCTTTAACTCACTGTAGTCCACACTAGCTTTGAAGGTTTCATTCTGCTGACTCAGCCTCCCAAGTATCCCAGAGTTCACGGTTCTGCCTTTGCCGATAGTGTCCCTCTTGAAGTACAAGAGCTTTCAGGATTGAGGATGCCACTTTGCCTCTTCAGATACTGTGATTTTGGCGTTACAGCTAGCTGACTGTTGCCTACACAAAGGTCATGAGGTTGCGTGCCTGTCTCCTAGTTTTAAATCTTTAGCTCTTTGGTTTTGGCTGTCAACCCATTGTCTTTGTCTACTGCAAGAAGAGAACTGTTGTCTTCGTGAGAAGGATTGTGATTATGAACATGGTCTATGTGGGATGGGACTTCATTCACAGGGTTACTTCTTCTTGGATCAGTAGCAGTGGTTTGTATGTTTTAGGAGTTTGTTCATTTCTTATGGGTTAACAGAACTGGAAGTTTTGATTATCATCTGAGTAGGTTAGTCTACAATAATTCAGCCAGTTTCCTATGTTGAGCACACACAAATCAGTGATTTTGGATTGGAGCAAAGAATCTAATGGCCCACCAATCTTTCACTTTTTCCCCAGTAGCTTATATAACATAAATTTGCACAAACACTAAGACAGTCGAGTTTTTGAAAGTGATTTTGATAGACAGCCTGCAGCGTTTCAGCCATAGATTTTAAAGACAAGGCATTTAAACAAAGATGTCTATGAGTTAGCAGTAAAATAGTAAGGTATGTTTTAAGGCAATTATTAAAACTGTCAAAGCAAGTGGTTACTATTTATTAACACTATCTTCTCTTTGATAATTAACCTTGACAATCTAAGTTATAGCAAATATATTAATGTTGTTTTCTATTTAAATTGTATTTCACCCTAGCATTTGTAAGACATGCCGTTGTTGTGTTTCTTTTAGAAAACAAATGAAGGCAGTTCATGTCTCAGGCTTAGTAGAAATGTTAGGACTAGAGATTGTTACCTACTCTGAATTTCTCTGTTTTGGAGTCATCATGTTAGAAGTAATGTCTGTGTTTTAGGATATGTGTACACTGTGTGAAGTGTTATATTGGTATAGTAAAAAGCTGAATGGTCAACAGGTATTTGTGGGATTTCTAGGGAGAGGGAAAGGAAGAGAAGGAGGAATCAGGGGCACGGTAAAAGCCAGGAGACATGGCGAGGAAACAGGAGGTGTAATATGGAAGAGAGGATTAATTTAACTATAAATGGGTTAATTTAAATTATAAGAGCAAGTTTGGAACAAGCCTAAGATAAAGGGCAAGTTTTCATAATTAATAAGAAGTCTCCGTGTCATTACTTTGAGCTGGCTAGGGTGACAGCAAGACTCATTATAGGTCTGTCATCCATTCCATTTGTTGTAGTCACGTTTCAAGTTCTTGGGGTTTATAACTTCAGCAAGAATTTTGAAATCTTGTGAAATTTGATCACTTCAGATTCTTTCCAAATGCTTGCTTTTGGAAAGTGTGCTCTGTTGTCAGAAAACGACACAGCTCATTGTAACAAGACTCAACAACACGACTAACTAGCGTTGACTATTTGCACAATATAACTTAAATGCCATGCATTCCCCCCCGCCCCACCCCAGGGCAGATGCTGTGGGAAATAGTAGGCGATGTTGGGTAAAACACTGGTCCTACCATGTTAGGAAATCTAATGCAATTACGAGCTTTCGTTACTTGTACTCTGTTTAGTGCTGATCAGTAAGAGTCCTTTCGGACAGGGAAACACCCCGTTTTGGTTCCATCGTATCACACAGTTTCTAAGTCACCTTGGCAAGGAAGAAATGGTGGATAGGGCTGAAAGCTACCTCAAGTGCTGGTTAGGAGTATGGATCTTGTTTGTTCACAGCTCAGGGAACAGGTTGATTTTGTGACTTCAATCTAAGTCTACGGGATTGAGAAAACTTGCAGTTGGGAGAACAGCGGGGGGCGGGGGGGGGAGGGGAAGAGCTATGATGACACTGACTTGGATAATTTCCTGTGTTGAGCACACCCAGGTCAGTGATTTGGGAGTGGAGCAAAGAACTTAATGATCCATCCACCTTTCATTTTTCATTTCTAATGGCTTGTATCACATAGCTTTGCACAGACATGTAATGAGTTTTTCTCCGTCCTGCCTGCTAGCTCCCAAGTAATGACATGGAGACGTCTTGTTAATTATGAAAGCTCAGTTTAATATCCTGGGCCTATTGCTAACTAGTTCTTACAACTTGAATTAACGTGTTTCTACTAATCTATGTTTTGCCTCATGGCTTTTTAACCTATCTTTCATTCTGTGCGTCTAACTTACTCTCTGTCTCACTGGGATCTCTCTAGATTCACCCCAAGTTTCTCCTTTTCCCAGAAATCCCACCTATCTCTCTTGATTACCTATTGGCCATTCAGCTTTTTGCTACACTAATCACAGTGACATGTCTTCACATAGTGTACAAATATCCCACAACACAAACACTAAGACACCTGGCCTTTTGAAGTCACTTTGGTAGACAGCATGTGGCTTTTCAATCACTGACTTTAAAGATAAGTCCATTTAAACAAAGATGTGCATGAGTTATCAGTAAAGTAGTAAGGTATGTCTTAAGGCAACTATTAAAACTCTAAAGTCAAGTTTACTATTTAGTAATACTATTTTCCCATTGGTAAATGAGCAATTACACAAAGCACATTCTGAAATATTTCCAATGGCTTTATATGATATGACTTGTGAGCTGATGTACCGCAGTGCTCAGCCGTCAGGAGTGACTGGAACCTGCCTGGATATTGGTCAGCATGAAAACAGTCAATAAAATGTGTCTTTTTTGACATTCAGGAAACCTGACGAGTAAGGGCATAGTCCTAATGACGCTGTAACCTCTAAAGGCAGCTGGATAAACTTCTTAGATCTCACCTGATTTGTTGCTCTATTTCAAGGCTCTGTCCACATTGAGGGAGGCCACTGTAGTCATTCTGTGAATATTTATATCATATTCATTTGTAATAGCCCAAACACTAGAAACCATTGGGATATCCTTAATGGGTAAATGGGAAGTATATCATATCATAGCATAGCCAGGTAATGGTATGCCACTGCGTGGTGAAAAACTTTGAAATTTGACTCACATAACAAAATTACATTAAAGTAATTGTGCTAAATGATGCTTTTCTGACAAGATTATGTGTCCATTGAGAAGTAATCAGAAAAAATATATGTGCCATTAGATCAATTGGGAATGTGAGGGCCTGAGCATATGCCAGAGGTAGGACATTGGGTAACATATATGAGGTTTGGGGCTTGATTTTGTAGCATTGAGAGGAGGGAGGAAGAGGAGAGAGAGCAGAATACAAATCTACATTTATAGAGAATACAGAGGCCACAAACTGATCTATAGAGATAAGAGGTGGATGTTTTACTGGGAGTGCATGTCCTCAGTGACAGAAGGGTCTGGAGGGCGACAGGACACGGGCGGGCGCGAATTCTGGGATGATGAGTATGCCCACTATCTCGACTGCAGTACTGGTTCATGGACATATGCAGAAGCTAACGTAGAGATGATACCTCTTAAATGCACACAGTTTGCAGTGCAGCGGTTGTTTTCAGTGAAAAGCACACCGTCGGGAAGACAGAACATGGGCTGGGGCGCTAGCAGTGGATGTTTTACAGGACGGATCCTGCTTGTTTTACAGGGTGGATTGCCGTTCTGGGTGCCATTTGGTTGCTAGTTTTAGCCGACACTCACGACTTTGAGGTCATTCTGCACAGAGTGGAATGGGCGACTCTCCTCTTCTTTGCAGCCCTCTTTGTCCTGATGGAGGTAAGACTGTGGGGCTTTGGCTATGTGGGCTTTTACTTGATTTTCGGTTTCACATTTTGCGTACAGAGCGAAGCCTAAGTCTCTCTACATATCCGCTACGTGGAAGATGATGGAGGTTGGTGTCAAGACGATCGGAGTTTTTGATCTCAGTCGTTTAAATGCTTCTCATAAAAAAACAAAAGCAAAAACATTGATTTGGTTGCTATTTTTTTCTTTTCCCTGAACTGCTTTTGTGACAGGTGAATTTACTTTAATTTAATTTGTTTGTGAAACATAGAATTTGCTCAAAATTAGGACTGCAGAAAAATGGTTTCGCATAGAGCAAGCACATCGGGCAAAAGGAGCTGACTCAGGCTGCGCAAATACGGGGTGACTGAAAATTCCTCACAACACATGCTTCAATCTTTAATATGTTTATAAATGTGTGCCTTCCTCCAACAGAGAGGAAGAAAAACGACTAATGAAAACACTACTCCCCAAGGCTCCCTGCCTGAGCACCAATTCCTCATGTTTGACCTTTATTGTGCTTTCGATTTTTTTTTCTGAGACAGGGTTTCTCTGTTTTATTTTGGAGGCTGTCCCGGAACTCACTCTGTAGACCAGACTGGTCTCAACTCGCAGAGATCCGCCTGCCTCTGCCTCCCGTGTGCCGGAACTAAAGGTGTGTGCCACCACCGCCTGCCTGGTGTGCTTTCGCTTTTTGAGGTAGAATTATTCCCCAAATTTTAAGCAATGGCTTATTTGACTCCTGGACATATGTTTTTAACTATTTGAAATTAATTTTAAGGTCAGCATACTTTTTTCTTATTCATGCCTCTTCTGCCACACTCTCCCATTCTCTCGGCCACACCCTCTCTAGTCCATTTCCATCTCCCAAATAGTCCTCCCTTCTGCTCTCCTGTCCCATGTGTTCTTGTAGCCTCTCCCTTTCCACCACTCCTGACTTCCTGAAGATCCCTTCCTACTCTCACTCATGGTCCCTTGTCTTCATTTCACGATTCTCTCTCTCTCTCTCTCTCCACACACACACACACACACACACACACACACACAATTTAATATAGATTCTATATATGAGACAACACATGCCATGGTTGTCTTTCTGAGTCTGGCTTATGTTGGTTATGTAATGATATCCAGGTCCATCCATTTTCCTGCAAATGTGATTTCATATTGTTTTACAGCTAAACTTTTTCTTTGTGTATCTGTGATTACATATCCATTGTTTGAGTCTCTGTGTGTGTATGAGCGCGCACACACACACACACACACCTGTTTATGGACATCTAGGCTGATTCAGTGTCTTAGCTGAAGTCCCTAAGTAAACACCAATGTGCATGAATCTTTGTGGTATCTCAACTTAAGAATTCTTCAGGTACTTATCCATGAGGGGCATTCCTGGGTCATATTTTGAGTTTATTGAAGAATATTTCCACTGAATTCCATAGAAGCTGTGTAAGCTTATAGTCCTACCAACATTGTATAAGGGTTCTTCTTTCTCTCACCACCATTTGTTACTGAGTTTATTAGCTGTTGGAGAATTTCACTTTCCTTATCAGTGCTAATTTGTGCTACCCAAGCATCCTGCGATGTGTGGTTTTTCACTGGGACATGGTTGACTTACCTAGGGCTATGTTCTTAGAGAAGACTGACACATTCCATACCAGCAGATAACAATTACGAATGACTCCTCGGAAATCTGGGATTTAATCTGGATTGTGCCTGCACAGGTCTTTTGCATGGTGTCACAACTGCTGTGGCTTAATGTGTGGAACTTCCCTGCCTTGTCCAGCAGACTATGTTTCCATAGAGTCGTCTATAACCTCGTATACCCTTTCTACGCCCATCTTCAGTGGTCCCTGAATCATGGGTTGAGGGATGCAGTATAGGTATTTCTTTAGTGATGGTCTTTCTGCAGTCTCCTATTCTCTGTACCTTGGCCAACTGTGAATCTCTGGGTTAATCACCATCTGCTGAAGACAGAAACTTCTCTGACAAGGGTTGTGAGATGCATTGATCTATGGGTATAGTGGTAGGCCCCAGGAGTCAGTTTAATACTCTGTCAATTGTGCAGAATAATAGTAGTATGTTATGGCCTATGGTCTATGGCCTGCCTAACCATATGTTCTTAGCCTGATAGTGGTGTCAGCTACGAATTTCATCTTGTGGAGCTGAACTCAAATCCAAGCAGACAGTGGCTGGTTACTTGCCTACTGTTCCTGACACAATTGCACTAGTGGGCATGTCTTGCCAGGGTGGTCATTATTGTAGTTCATAGGGTTCATAGTATGTTAAGATGACTACTTTTATCCTCTGGTAGCATGCTTAGCTTCTTCCAGCACTACAAAAGCTAGTCAGTAGAGATGAAGCTTCCTGGCCAATTCCAGTTTGATTTCTCCATGTACTCAAGTATGTGGTGTGTTTAGCAATAGGGTCTTCCTGTCAAGGTGTTAGGGTAACCAGGAACATTGGCAATAACCTATAATGTGTAGGGGTCTTTGATACCTCACTGGCCAACAACTCCTAAAGAGGCAACCTATTCCCAGTACTAGACTTTTTATTTGGCAGCTTCCGGCGTCTGGGTGGAACACTGTTGCTCCACTGTGGGAAAACCACCTTTTTTTTTTTTTTTTTTGGTTTTTACAAGACAGGGTTTCTCTGTATTGTTTTGGAGGCTGTCGGTCCAGCCTAGCCTCGAACTCACAGAGATCCGCCTGCCTCTGCCTGCCGAGTGCTGGGTTTAAAGGTGTGCGCCACCACTGCCCGGCTGAAAACCACCTTTTGATTCTTGTTATGTGTGTACATAGCTGTATTTCAGGAAGCTTCTAAGTAGTAGGCTTCTATATGAGTTTCCTGGAAAGTTTTGGTGTTTTTTGTCCCTTCCAGTTTTGCTCTCCTGCTCTGCTGCCCCTCACCCACCATGATCTATCCCTTCCTATTTCTTGTCTCTTTTGATCTATCATGTCAGTGCATTCTATCTTCCTTTGAAAGCCCTTCCCCATGAGTCCTTATTAGTTTCCTTATCTCTATGGGTATTCTAAATAAAACATACACACCTCTAAAAATTCAAAGCTAGTTTCTACAACTGAGAAAAAGCATTTGGATTTTATCTGTCTGGGTTTCAGTTACCTCATTCAGAATGACTCCTTCTAGTCCCATCCATTTACCTTCTAATTTCATGATTTTATTTTTTCCTAATAGGTGAGTAATGGCCCATTGTGCAAATATGCCATATTTTGTTATTCATTCATCAGTCCATGGGCATCTAGACTGTTTCTATTTTCTGTTTTTTGTGAACAGAGCATCAGTGAACATGAATGAGTAAGTATCTCTGTAGTAGGATATAGAGTCCTTTGGGCACATGCCCAAGAGTGGTACAGCTGGATCAAGTTGTAGATCTAATTTTAGCTTTTTGACAAAAATATTTATGCATTTATTATGTATACGGTGTTTCACAGACTAGAACGTGGCACCAGGTCTCATTCTAGATGGTCTGAGTCACCATGTGGTTGCTGGGAATTGAACTCAGGAGCTCTGGAAGAACAGCCAGTGCTCTTAACCTCTGAGCTGTCTCTTCAGTCCCCCTAATTTTAGCTTTCTGACAAACTCCCAACTGAGTTGCGCAGTGGTTATCCCGTTATCGCCAGTGGGGAATAAGTCTTCTCTCTCCCTCACATCTATCCTAGTGTTTCTTGTCAATTCTTCTTGATGGTGGTCATCCTGACTGTGGTCAGATGGAATCCCAAAGAAGGTTTCTTTTTGTTTTTCTGATGCTAAGTATGTTGAACATTTTTTTCCAGTTACTTATTGGCCATTTTTAATTCCTTTCAGAACTGCCTTTTCAGTCTACTGGCTTATTTTTTTTGACTGGATAGTTTACTGTTTTGATGTTTAATATTTGAAACAATTTACATATTGCAGATATTAACTGTCTGATATGTAGTTAGCAAAGCCCCCCCCCCGTTTTGTGTGCTGTCTCTTCACTTTGGTGATCATGATTTTTCTTTGCAGAGTCTTTTAATTTTGTATAATTCTCTTTTTTTCCAGTCCTTGGGGTTATTTTCTCTGCTATGGGAAACCTTTTTGAAAAACCTTTGCTTGTGCTTGTACCTTGAAGTATTTTTATCTGTGTTAACCTCAGCAGTTTCAGACTCTGGGTTCATTCATCAAGGGTTTGAAGTCATTCTGAATTGATTTTGTACAAGATAAGATGAGAAACATGGCTTTAATTTCCTTACTTTACATGTGGACATTCAGGGTTCCTGGAGTATTTGCTGAAGAGGCTGCTTTTTTCCTTCAATTTATGGTTTTAGAAACTTTATTAGGAGGCTATAGTTGTGTGAGTTTATTTCTGGGCACACTGTTTCATTCCATTGGTCTACGTGTCTGTTTTTGTGCCAGTATAATACAATTTTTCCTATTATGATCCTGTAATATAATTTGAGATCAGGTGTGTATGATGTCTTCAGCCTTATTCTTCCTGCTTCATCATGCTTTGGTTATTTGGAGTCTTTTGTGCTCCTATGTGAAATTTAAGATTTTTTTTCTATTCTAATGTTAATATTTGGATGGGAGTTGTATGGAACTTGTAGATTACTTTTAATGATATGACCATTTTTACAATATGAAACCTGCCAATATATAAACATGAAAGTTCTTTGTATTTTCTCATTCACAAAGAATACACTCAAGAACCAAACAATAGAATTATAAACCAACCAATCAACCACCACATAACGTTTTAAGTAATTTATGATTGTGTGTTAGTCTGCAATCACTATTACTTTTGGTCATATACATTTCTGGGCTGTGGCTGAACACATTTTATTCTGCCTTGAAATTTTTGATAATGATGTCTTCACATTCTTCATAGGTTTTAATTATTATTTTATTGATTTTTTGTAGATGGCATATCATGCATTCTGATCCCACTCATCTCCCCGTCCCTTCTAATCTGTCCTCTGTCCTTGCAATGTCCCCAAATAAACCAAATTTAAAAG